ACGGGGAGGGACATCTTTCCCGTGAGGGTGGCGGAGCACTGGCACAGGCTGCCCAGAGAGGCGGTGGAGTCTCCTTCTCCGGAGAGATTCAAACCCTGCCTGGACGCCGTCCTGTGCAACCTGCTCTGGGTGACCCCGCTCCGGTGGGGGGTGGAGGAGAGGAGCTCCAGAGGGCCCTGCTGACCCCTGCCGGTCTGGGATTCTGTGAATCCTTGTCCCTGCAGGGGATCAGGTAGAAACCCAGTGTGGGGTGTCATGTCCCTGGCATGGGGAGCTATTTTTAATGGTGTTTTTGCCACTGACATTGCTTTGTTGCTGCTGGTTCCTCTGCATCGGTGTAAGCAGTTGCGCAAGGCGCGTACCCATGCATTGCACAACTGCAGCTGCCCCGGTGCCTGGAAGTTCGGCGCAGATAAGAGAGGAGGGTCCTGGCAGCAAGGATGGGGCTTGAGGCGCTCTCATTAGTGTTCCTGAGGCACAGTGCCCCCTCGGAGGGAGCGGGGTGCCATTGCGCTGCTCCAGACAGGATTGTGTCTTGGGATGAGCTGTGTGAGATCCCCAGCTCTCACCTCTCGGGCCGCAGAAATTGCCATGGGGCGATGGTGTGGGAGCGCAGGGCACCTTCTCCACGCTGGCTTGAGGGTGGCTCTGGCATGTGCGCCATTATCCCCAGCTCCTTCCAGCCCCTCTTGCTGCACGGGGAAGGTGAACCGGTGCTGAGCCGCTCTCTGTTCTGCTTTCCCTCCCCAGCCTCTGCGAGTGAAAGTGTCTGAGCAGCTCCTGGCTGAGATCGGTGAGTGACGGGCTCCCGGGTCATGTGCGGTCTGCGTGGCCGGCGTCACCGGCACTTCCCCCTGAATGAGGACTGTTTGTTAAGATGCCAAAGCAGGATCCCAAATGACTTCTGCAGGACTCTACCTCTTGCCCCCTCAGAGAGGATGTGCTGAGGTTTGGCACTGGGGCTCCTGAGCTCTTCCCCAGCTCGGTCCCAGTGGTCCTAGGGGTCTTGTTATGGGCAGGTGTCTCAGCCTGGGTGTGCAAAATGGGAGATGGGTTATCCCAGCCCGGAAACTAGCTGGCTAGAGGGCTGCGCTCTGGCAGGAGGAGGCTCTGCGGTCTTCCTGCCTGCCCCGCTCTGCCCAAGCGCCTGCTAGAAGATCCTTTGTGCCCTTCCTTGCATGCTGAGCATGGTTGGTGACACACCGATTCTCCTCTCCTGTCCCCAGAGACTCGCCTGCGGAACGGGGACGATGTCCGAGCCACCCTCTTTGAAGCTCAGGAGATGGTGATGCCTGAGATACAGGAGCAGATCCAGGACTACAGGTAATGCGGCTGCCAAGGTGCCCCACAGAGCTCCGTGGGCTCCTGCCCACACTCCCGCCTGCACAGGGTTTGTCTCGGCAGCGGGTGGCCGGTGCCTGAGCTTGTGGCCCTGACCCTTGTCCTCCGCAGAACAAAGCGCACCATGGGCCTGGGGAGTCTGTATGGGGAGAACGACCTCTTGGACCTGGATGGGGACCCCCAGAAGGAGCGGCAAGTGGCCGAGAAGCAGCTGGCCCAGCTGGGCGACATACTGTGAGTGCCGGGCTGCCGCGGAGGCTCCCTGCCCTGCGCGTGGGGGAGCGCCTCTCTGCCTGGATTTGGGGTGAGGATGTGGGGAAGGGGATCGGGCACAGCCTTGGCTCTGCTCTTTCATCCTGCGTGATCCACGCGTTTGCTGTTGGAGGTGGGAAAGGGAGTTTGGAGCAGGCGCTGGGTGCGGTGAAGGGTAGGGGGCACAGTGGGGTGGAGAACTCGGCGCTGCGAGCGTCCTGCCTGGGGGCTGGGCAGAGGAGCCTGTTCCAAACAAACTCTTTTATCCCTCCCCATCTCTCTCTCCAGGTCAAAATATGAAGAGGACAGGAGGTGAGTGGCTCCGGGGCTTGGGGGAGCGCGTCCAGATGTGACTGCCTTACAGTTGTTAGCCAAGGAGGCAAAAGGAGAGGAGTCACAGGAGCATCCCCTTCCCGTGCTGGCCTCCGGCACCCTCTCCCCATGCCAGGCGTATCCCCGTGGGCTCTCAGGCTGGCCCTGGGGAAGGGTGAACACATACCTTGGCGTCCTGGTGCCCCCCCCTGCCATCTCAGCTCACCCTCTTGAACTGCTCCTTGCCTTTCCTCCCTTCTCGCTTGCCCCGCATCCCAACCCGGGCATCCTCTCTGGCCTGGGGAGGGATGGACCCTCTCTCCCCGCCAGAGCCCTGCAGGATGTCCCGGCCTCCCCCATTGTCTCTCCTGGCCTGCGGTGCTCTGTCCTGGTGTCGGATCTCCAACCTTACACTCTCCTCTCTTCCAGCTCCCCCATGGCCTTTGCCCTCAGCACGTATATGAACCACACAGGCATCCGCAGCCGGGAGCCCCGGGTGGCCGGCACCAGTGAGAAGGCACAGTCCCTCCCAGACAGGGACAAGTGGCTGCCCTTCTTCCCCAAGACCAAGAAGGTGGGTGGCCCTCTGCCCTGGGGTCAGGTGCTCGCTGCTGGATCTTTTGAGGTGACCCAGGGAGGGGTTCTCCAGAGATCCCCGTCTCCCCCCCATGCCTTGGAGAGCTGCTTAGTGCCAGGGCAGAGCCAGATCCCAGCCCCATCCCTTCCCAGACGGCTCATGCCGCAGCGTTCAGCCAGCGCGGTGATGGCTGGGGACACGCATGGTAACGGTGTGTTTTTATCTGTGCTCCTCTCGGCTGTCCCAACAGAGCAGCAGCGCGAAGAAGGACAAGGACGCTATGGAAGACAAGAAGCGCAACCCCATCCTCAAGTACATTGGGAAGCCCAAAATCTCCTCCCAGAGCAGTGAGTATCGAGACCTTCTCGGGTGCTGTACCCAGCAGTCTCTCTGCTGCCTGGAGGAAATCTGCAGCCATCTGCGTGCCTGGGACCATTGGGTGGCCGTTGGCACACGTGGGGCTCCAGTTTACCCAGTAGCCAGCACTTCGCATCAGCCACCCTCTGCTCTCCTCCAGCCACTCATTGGAAACGTGGAAACTCAACTGGCCGTGCTCCCACATGGCTTTGAGGGGAGCGGGAAGGGAGCTGAGCTCTGCCCCCCACCAGAATCTATCTCATGGACCCCATCCCGCAGGCTGACGGGCTGCTCGCTGTGTCTTAAAAGTGCTGCGGCTCCTGGGGGGCTGAGATGGTGGAGAGCAAGTGTGTGCACGTGTGTGTGCGCACACGTGTGTGCCTGTGTTCCTCTTCCTCCCCTTCTGCTTTGAGTTCTCATGTTGTTAGCTCACGCCTTCCCTCTTTGCCTCCTTCCTTGCTGAAATGCGGGATTGATTTGACATCTCATTTTTGTTTTTCCTTTCAGCATTTCATGTCCCTTTGTCCCCTGTTGAAGGTAAAAGGCCTCTTTTTTTGTTTGCCATTCACCTCATGTGCTTATAGTTTTATTTTGCCCCCCCCGAACTACCCCACCGTTCTTCCACTGGGTGTCGGGGTGGGCTCGGATGGGTGCCCCGGGGACCAGGAGGAGGGTTGCCCATGGCGACCGGCCGTTCCTGTCCCACGCTCGGGCATCCCGGGCGCCCACTCAGCACATCTCCCCAAGGAAGCCGGCACCCGGCTTCGGGGAAGCCCTTGGGCGAACGGTGGCGATGCCGCCGGCACCTTTGCCTCCGCAGCCCGAGATGGATGGGAGTCTGCCGGGCAAATGGCCGAGGCCACGGTGCTGCGGGGTGGGTGGCAGCACCAGCATCTCCTCGCCCGGTCTCAATGGGAGTTGTTTCCTTCCTTTTGCCCCAGCAGTCAAACCCGGCAATGTGAGGAACATCATCCAGCACTTTGAGAACAACCAGCATTACGAGAGCCAGGAGCCCGGCACCCAGCGTCTCTCCACCGGCAGCTTCCCCGAGGACCTGCTGGAGTCAGACAGGTAGGGCAAGGGGATGCGTTGGGGGCTGCTTGTGCTTTCAGGGGTCCCACCGCAGTTTTTGGTGTCTTTCCATGAGTGGCGACGTCCCTGCCTGTCCCCCCAGGCTCAGCCTGTTCTCCGCTTTGTCTCCCTGGTGCAGTTCCCGCGCTGAGGTCAAGCTGGGCCGCTCGGAGAGCTTGAAAGGCCGGGAGGAGATGAAGAAATCCCGGAAAGCAGAAAATGTGCCACGGTCCCGCAGCGATGTGGACATGGATGCCGCAGCCGAGGCCACAAGGCTTCACCAGTCGGCATCGTCTTCCGCTTCCAGCCTGTCCACAAGGTGGGAGACACCATCCGAGCCCCCGGGCAGGGAGGACCTGGGTTCACCAGGGTTTGTTTTTCTTCAAAGGGGAGCTGGGAGACCTGGGGCTTTGAATGCTGAACCCTGTGGGCTGAGAGACCGTCTCTCGGGAAAGCTTTTGCTAAGCTGCTGGGTCAAGGCCAAGCCCCAGCCACGCACAGCGGGGTGGCCCTGGCCCCACAGCGCCCAGCAGAGCCTCCTGGCCAACGTTTTCCATGGGAAAACAGAGAAAATTGGGCTTTAATCCCCATTTGTGCCTCAAACCCCTCTGGCAGCTGGTAGCGCCAGACCCACATCTGGAGGGGTTTAGAGAAGCGCTGCTGGGTGCTGCCCCATGGGGCGCAGCGATGGGAGGAGGCAGGTCAGGACATCAGGACGCGAGGGTGACTCTCCCATCCCTCCCCAGGTCGCTGGAAAATCCCACCCCCCCCTACACGCCGAAGATGGGACGCAGGTGAGTGGCCCACCCGCGGTCTCTGCCGTCTCTACCGCGCCGCCCCGAGCCGAGCCGGGTCCCTGGGGCCAGTTTTCCTTCAGAGCAGGAGGGTCACTGTTAGGGGTGTGCCGGGGCTGTGCCCCCGCTTTGGGGGTCAGAAGGGCTCCGTCTGTGCCTTCCTAGCTTTTTCCCTCCCCATAAGCGAGCCTTGAGAGAGCACAAGGGGAGACCATGCCCAGGGCTGCCCCGGGAGGGAGTTCCCCTGTTAGTTCTCCATCCTCCTGGGGCGAGGGGGCACCTCTGTTCCCTTGTGTCTCATGCAGGAGCTTAAAGGACCTATATAGATGTCTGCTGGGGGACCTAGTCTTTTAGCTCAAGAGTCAGAGGCTTGTACTTCTTGTGCTGAAGGCCCCGGGTTCAAGCCGAAATAGGGCCCAGGTAGATATTGGCTGTACTGGGAGCGCTGCGGGGTGGGCTGGCTGGATGCGGGTAGCTGCAGAGTACTCCCACTGCCGCCTTTCACCCTCTCAGGAGCATCGAGTCGCCCAGCCTGGGTTTCGGTGTGGATCCCTTCCTGCCTCATCTCCTGGAGGACGAGCAGGGGCAGCTGTCCGACCTGGAGCCCGAGTTGGACTCCCAGAACTGGCAGCACACGGTCAGCCGGGAGCTGGTGGCCAACCTGCCGCAGAAGGAGATTGACCGGCAAGAGGTGATCAACGGTAAGGAGCGCAGGGCATCCCAGGGACACGAGGGACCCCCCCGGCAGCGTGCCCCAGCACCGCTGGGCTCCCTGGCCACTTCTCCACCCCTGTGCCTTTTGCACAGAGCTCTTTGCCACCGAAGGGTCTCACCTCCGCATCCTCCGAGTCCTTGACCTCCTCTTTTACCAGCGGATGAAGAAGGAGAGCCTGCTGTCCCGGGAAGAGCTGGCGCTCCTCTTCCCCAACCTCCCTGACCTGATAGAAATCCACAGTAAGCCTCTTCCCGCTGGGATCCCGCTCTCCCCTGGAAATATCCCCCTGCGGTGGGAGCAGAGGGTGGCCCACGGCTGCCCGCTGCTCCTGCGTGATCACCCACCATTTGAACCAGTCCTGCTGATGGCATTGTACCGTCTCACCGCTCCGGCCTCTCCTTTCCCTCGCCTGGGAGGGATCCAGAGCCTGTATTTTCCAGGCTCTGCCAATGCCTGTGTGTGGGATGCCTGGGCTGTACCCAGCCCTTGGCGTAACACGCTTGCAGGACACGCTTTTGGTGTCACACTCCTTGACACGCTGCGTCCGTGATGGCAGCAGTCGAAGCCCACGTGGCTCTCAGCCTCTCCTGCCTGCCGGAGAGCCGGCAGAGACCCTCACGGATGAGCGGTGGGTGACCCCAGCATCCCATTCACGTTGGGTCCTGTCTGTCTCTCGCATCCTCGTTCAGATTCTCTCTCCGAATCCATGAAGAAGCTCCGGGAAGAAGGACCAATCATCAAAGAAATTGGGGATCTCATGCTGTCTCGGGTAAGGGGGGACAGGGGTGGTAGAGCCCCTGAGGGCAACTTCTTGTCCTCTGGCGTGGAGGGGTTGACATCTTTAAGGGGAGGTGATCCCACTGTCACACTGTCCTCTGGCCGTGGCTACGCTGGGAGCTCGGGGAGACTCAGGGTGAAGCCTGGGGGGTGTCTGAGCCCAGTTCTCCCCTGCACCCCCCCAGTTCGACGGCACGGCTAAAGAGGAAATCCAGCAAGTGGCTGCTGACTTCTGCTCTTACCAATCCATCGCCCTAGAGCTGATCAAAACCAAGCAGCGCAAGGAGACCCGTTTCCAGATCTTCATGCAGGTTTGTCCCTCTCCTGGGCTGTTCCTCGCCCCCGGGGCTCCCCTGGTTTCCCCCGATCCCACCTCGGGGTTTTCACCCTCTCCCTTCCACCCTAGGAAGCAGAAAGCAATCCGCAGTGCCGGCGCCTGCAGCTCAAGGACTTGATCATCTCTGAAATGCAGCGCCTGACCAAGTACCCGCTGCTGCTGGAGAACATCATCAAGCACACCGAGGGTACGGGCTTTGGGGGGCACGGGGCGCTTGTCCCCAGGGTTGCTCGGCTGAGTGTTCGTGCTTCCAGCACGTCCTTGGGCTGGCAGGAGACGATCGCTTTCTGCTGTGGGGCTCGTGCCTCTCTGTTGCCATCCAGAGCACAATCCCAGGGCGGTGCGGAGGACATACTGCCTTTCCAGCACAAAGAAACGGACCAGGGGGGATCCAGGGGGTGGGAAAATCTCCCTCTTGTCTGCAGGGAGCTCTGGGCTGGTGGTGGTTTGTGCCCGCTGACCTGTTGTCACCTCTCTGCCCTGCCAGCGGGTACCTCAGAGCACGACAAGCTGTGCCGAGCCCGGGACCAGTGCCGGGATATCCTCAAGTACGTGAACGAAGCGGTGAAGCGAGCAGAGAATCGGCATCGGCTGGAGGGCTACCAGAAACGCCTGGATGCCACCTCGCTGGAGAGAACCAGCAACCCGCTGGCTGCTGAGTTCAAGGTAGTCCCGGCTCCGCGGCAGCGGCAGGGGATCGGCAGGGGTCTGTCCAGCCCTGGCCCATGCTCACCGCCGTCCTCGGCATCCCGCAGAGCCTGGACCTCACCTCCCGGCGCATGATCCACGAAGGGCCCCTCACCTGGCGCATCAGCAAGGACAAGACTGTGGGTACGGACCTTCCCCACCACCCGGTGCCAGGAGCACTGGGAGACTTCTCCCTGCATCCTCAGCGCCTCCCAGGACATGGGAATTTTATCTCCAGCCCCAGCGGCATTACAGGGACCCCCGTAGCCCCTACGTTGTCTCTCCTGGCTGTAAGGAAGGAGTTTCCACCTGGTTTGCAAGCACATCACTGGTTGAGCCTCCGCTCTCTTGTCTCCTCTCCCACCCCAGACCTGCACGTGCTGCTCCTCGAGGACCTCTTGGTGCTGCTGCAGAAGCAGGATGAGAAGCTGGTGCTCAAGTGCCACAGCAAGACGGCGCTGGGCTCTTCGGACAACAAACAGACCTTCAGCCCCGTCCTCAAGCTCAATTCGGTGCTCATCCGCTCCGTGGCCACAGGTAGGGACAAAAGCTGGGGAGAGGAGCCACCAGGGCTGGCAGTGGGGACCGCCTGTCCTCTGGCTGTGTCCCACCACGGCCATGCTGGTGACAGCCGTGCCGGTGGGTTGGGTTAAAGCCCTTGCCATGCGCTGACCTTCCTCATCGCTCTCGGTCACCCCACGCAGATAAACGAGCCCTCTTCATCATCTGCACGTCAGAGTTGGGACCTCAGATCTATGAGCTGGTGGCTCTGACGTCTTCCGACAAAAACGCGTAAGGCTCGGCGGGACGGGGGCTGGCGGCGACGGGCAGTGCCTCCCCGGGGACAGGGGCTTCTCTGGGGGGGACAGAGACACACACCCCCCCGGGGGAGCTGATGAGGGGCTCTCGGTCGGGCAGGTGGATGGAGCTACTGGAGGAGGCGGTGCAGAGTGCCACGAGGAACGCCACTTTCCCCCCTAAACGCCGGACGCCGGAGCCCACCCGTGCAGCACCCTCCGGGTGAGCAGCGCAGCCCCTTGTTGGGAGCCGGAGCCCTAGCCCAGTCCTGTTGCTGGGGAGACAGTGGGGGATGAGGCCAGCAGGCTGCTGGGTCTCTCCGGAGGGCGGTTGGGATGGGGAGAGGGGTCCTCCCCGGTCACTGGGGACCTGGGGGTGGCTACCAGGGCTCCTGGCACCTTGTGCGGGGGGCTTCGGCTGCGTCCGCCCTGGGGTGGGGGCTGTCCCCGAGCCCCTGGCTCCTGCCTGTGGCCTGATGTCCGTTCTCCGTCCTCGCAGCCTGGTGTTACAGGACCCCGACATCTCCCCCATCCTGTCCCGAGGTGCCGGCTCTGGAGCAGAGGCAGAAGATTGCTCCTCAGGTGAGCTCCCGGAGCCCTGCCTGCCCCTCGCTGCCTGCACCCTGCCCGGATTTCGGGGACGGGACACGGACGTGAGCTCTCCCCTTCTATCCTGCAGCAGACGACAATCCCACCGCGCTCCTGGGTGAGGAGAAGCCCGCAGCATTGCTGGAGGAGCCGGTGAGCAGCGAGGTGGAGGAAGGGGAGGAAGAGCTGCCCGTAGCCCCGCTGCCCACCCCCTCGCTGGGACTGGGGGTCTCGCTCCCCGCTTGCCTGCGTGAGCTTTGCTGGATGGGAGCTGGGGGCTCGCGTGGGGCACCGAGGGCTGCGGGTGGACCCCCCCTCTCTGCTGTGTGCACCCCGGGGGGGTGGGGGCTCTGACGGGTGCCGGTGCTGGGTGCTGATAGGTGCCGGTATCGGGGTGCTGGTGGTGGGTGCTGGTATTGGGGTGCTGGTGGTGGGCGCTGATGGATGCTGCTGACAGATGCTGGTGTTGCCGTGGTGGTGGTGGGTGCTGGTGGATGCTGCTGATGGGTGCTGATGGATGCTGGTGTTGCAGTGCTGGTGGTGGGATGCTGGTGGGTGCTGGTGATGGGTGCTGGTGGTGGGATGCTGGTGGGCGCTGATGGTGGGATGCTGGTGGGTACTGATGGATGCCAGTATTGGGGTGCTGGTGATGGGATGCTGATGGGTACTGGTGGATGCTGGTGGTGGGGTGCTGCTGATGGGTACTGATGGATGCCAGTGTTGGGGTGCTGGTGATGGGATGCCGATGGATGCTGGTGGTGGGTGGTTGATGGGTGCTGGTGGGATGCGGGT